TTTTTGGCTTTGGTGGTTGGTGCGTATATTTGAATAATTCTAGTATTAACAGGTCTTCCTTGTAGGCATATGGATATTGTCCTATCACTGACAGCACTGTACTTCAGGACAGATCTTAAAACATCCTTTGTGATGATGAATGCCACTCCATTCCTCTTCAATTTGTCATTCCCAGCATAGTATATCTCTTGTTGTCTGATTCGAAATGCCCAAGACCTGTCCATTTCAGTTCACTAACGTCTAGGATATCAATCTTTATATGTTCCATTTCATTTGAGATAACTTCCAATTCTCCTAGATTCATACTTTGTACATTGAAGTAGATGAGCTTATAAGGACTTGTTAAAACTCCATTGTGCAGTGAAGTCCATTTCACAAGCACTCCAGCATAACAGCATTTCTACTTTTCCCTACCCTTCTCAGAGAGCCCAGTAGCTATCTAAACCAAACATCCTTGAGAAACCCACTCACCCCTTTCCTTTTCTGAACCAAACATCTATGTGAAACCCACTCACCCCTTCCTTTTCCTGAAAGCCCTGTTAATAGTAATTCCCAGAAATGGGGGCCCACATCCTGCCAACAGAAATTCTCAGAATTGAGGACCCTCACTCCGGACTGTGTGTTTCTGCTCTGATAGTAAGCTGACCATTAATCTTGCCTAAACAATAACCTGGCAGTTTATCGCTTCTGTAACACACTTGCTTGCCTGCTTGCAGTCCTAAGCTTTATAAGCCTGCCTAAAATCAGGCTCGGGCTGCAGTTGGGGAGAATGCTTTTGTTCCCTGCAGCCCAGCTATTGCTGAACAGACTCTTCCAAATTCTGGACATTATAGTGGTCATCAATTTCTTCTAAACCTACAACAACATTCCATGTTCTGATTATTAAAGGATATTTATAGCTGTTTCTCCTCAATTTGAGTTGTCAGCACATGGAGGTCCTAAAAGACTTACTTTATCCATATTATTAAGGTTGGTTCTACTCTGATGAGGCAGCTCTTTCCCAGTTCTATTTTGAGTGCCTTCCGACCCAAGGGGCTTGACTTCCTGCACTATGTCAAACAATGTTTCCAAGCTATTTGTAAAGTTTCCCAGTAATATATCAGTGTTTCTCTGTATTCTTAAGGTTTTCCCTGGTCAATTTTTGAGAAGTGAATGGCCTCCTCCTTCTTCCTAGTCTGTCTTAGTCTGTAAACTGTGTTGAAATTTGTGTATCATGTGCAACTCCGCTGGCATCTGAAACACCAGTGGTAGAGCCTCAAGCCTCATGTTGTGGTTGTTGTTTGCCGTGGAGTCAGACGTGACTCATAACGACCCCTCCTTGGGTTTTCGAGGCAGTATCACTACCGAAATAGATTGTCCAAGCTTCCTTCTGAGGAGTGGCTGGTGAGTTTGAATGTACAAGCCCAACAGGATGACAAACTGACAGACAAGTGTGGTGGTTATGTTTGTGTGTCAACTTGGCTAGGCCTGATTGAGTGGCTGGGCAGCTGGTGTTAGTTATTCCCCATGATGAGACTGGCAGTTAACTCCATGGTGGGACCTACCACAAGCAGCTGAGTAGCTGCCTTTGGGTATGTGGTCTGCTTCCCATATATAAGCAGCAGCTTTGGGAATGGTCTCTAGCCTTTGGCACACTTGGAACCTGCATGTAGCTGTGTCATTGCTCAGCAGCCTGCTACGCTCTGCTGACCTTGGGACTTACAATGGACTTAAGTTAATGGCCTTCCGTGCGGTTTGGTAACATCAGGACTGTGCCTTTTGACTTATCATGGGGCTTCTCAGACTCAGCAGCTAGCACCTGTCTGAGTGAAGAAACGCCTCTAGCTCTAGTGGGCTGGGAGCAGGAGGCAGAGCTGGACCCCAAGGCTGAGGGGCTTTCACCCAGGCCCTAGAGCCTGGCACTTTGAACTTGGACTGAAAGCCTCCAAATTGTAAGAACAAACTCCTGTTTGTTACGGCCATCCCATTTGTGGTATGTTCTTGTCAGAGTGGCACTAGGTAACCATAACAGAATTTGGTACTGAGAGAGTGGGGTGCTGCTCTGACAGATACCTAAAATGTGGAAACAGGAGTGGAGCGCATCCTTGACCTGAGACCCTGGCAGAGACACCCCGGCATACAGCATGACAGATGGCAGGACAGATGGTAAGAGACTGGTGTGAGAGACGGCAGGAGCAGATCCAAGAGAACCGGTATGAGACAGCAACAGCCTAAGCAGCCCACGGAGGAGAAAGCTTGATGCCTTTGGTTAGGCGGCTTCCTGGTGGAGTGGGTTGCCTTCGGGCATTAATTGGTAGAACAGATCGTCATGAAATGGAGTAGCACGTTGGCTGGCCCATGGAGCAAAAAAGCCGAGTGCTTTCTGGGCAGTTTTTTTCAGCAGAGTGGGTTGCCTTTGGCATTAATCGGCAGAAGTGGAGAGACTAAGGAAATGGAAGCAGAGCTGCCTCAGCCTTAATGGTAGGACCATGGCCTTTGGGGGTGGAACAATCACAATCCCCTAGGTTTCAAAGAGCCAGGCCTTCACCAAATTGGTACTGGAGTGTGGGGCTGCTCGTTCATGTGAGCCAGTAGGATGGAACCATAGCCATTGGCCAAGAGTGAAGGGGCGAGGCTGCCATGCCCAAGAGGGAGAGGCATGGGGCCCTCCAGGCCAAGGGGGTAAGATTGCCAGTCAGGGACTAGGCGACTGGAGCCACCCAGTGGAGGAGACCTGTACAGATACCACCCATTGAAGATCTGTATAGGTGCCAAGTTGACAAGGGGTGGAATTGTGGTGGTTATGTTTGTGTATCAACTTATCTGGGTCTGGTTGAGTGGCTGGGCAGCTGGTGGTAGTTATTCCCCATGATGAGACTGGCAATCAACTCCATGGTGGGATCAACCACAAGCAGCTGAGTCGCTGCCTTTGGGATGTGATCTGCTTCCTGTATATAAGGAGAAGCCTTGGGAATGGTCACTAGCCTATGGCACACTTGGACCCTGCATGTAGCCGTGTCATTGCTCAGCAGCCTGCTATGCTCTGCCTACCTTGGGACTTACAATGGACTTAAGTTAATGGCCTGCCGTGTGGTTTGGTAATATTGGGACTGTGCTTTTTGACTTATCAACCTTGGGGCTTCTCAGACTCAGCAGCAAGCAGCTGTTTGAGTGAAGAACGCCTCTAGCTCCAGTGGACCAGGAGCAGGAGGCAGAGCTGGACCTCAAGGTGGAGGGGCTTTCACCCAGACCCTAGAGCCTGGCACTTTGAACTTGGACTGAAAGCCTCCAAATTGTAAGAACAAACTTCTGTTTGTTACGGCCATCCCATTTGTGGTATATTCTTGTCAGAAAGGCACTAGGTAACCAGAACAGAAGTTTGTCTCCCTTAGTTGTTGGAAACTTCTGCGCCCTCTCCTTACCTAATTCCTACCTGGAACCTGCCACTTTGTGGTCCCTGGCCTCTCCCTCCCTTTCCTGGCTCTAGGGGGCTTGGGGCCTAACCTTGCCTCCCTCCCCTTTACCTGTATATCCTGCCACTCCAGAGGTCCCAGGCCTCTCCTACTCCCTTCTTTCCTGGCTCTAGGGGGTGTGGGGCCTAGCCTTGCCTCCCACCCCTTTTTACCTGGATATCCTGCTGTTCCACAGGTCCCCGGCCTCTCCTGCTCCCTCCATTTCCTGGCTTTAGGGGCCTGGGGTCTAGCCTTTCCTCCTGCCCCTTTTTACCTGGATATCCTGCTGCTCCAGAGGTCCCCAAAGACTTAGGTTCACCTAACTCTGGTAGCGTAGTGCCTAGGCCATTTGACTGCTAACCAGAAGGCTGGTGGTTCAAACCCACCAGCCATTCCTCGGAAGGAAGGTTGGGCAATCTACTTCCGTAGTGATACTGCCTCGGAAACCCAAGGAGGGGTCACTATGAGTCAAGCCTGACTCGATGGCACATAATAACAACAACAACAATCCAAGCCATGGTATTTTCAATCACCTCATTTGTATGTGAAAGCTGGACAATGAATAAGGAAGACCGAAGGAGAGTTGATGCATTTGATTTGTGCTGTTGGAGAAGAATACTGAAAGTACCATGGACTGCCAGAAGAAGTACCAAGTCTTTCCTGGAAGCAGTGCAGCTGGAATGCTCCTTGTAAGTGAGAATGGCCAGATTTTGTCTCACCTACATTGGTCATGTTGTAAGAAGGGACCATTCCCTGGAGAAGGATGTCATGCTTGGTAAAGTCAATGAAGAAGGAGAAGGCCTCAATGAGATGGATTGACACAATGTGGGCAACAATGGGTTCAGATATAGAAAGCATTGTGAGGTTGGGACAGGACTGGACCATGTTTCGTTCTGTTGTACAAGGGGTTACTAAAAGTCAGAGCCAACACCATAGCACATAACAACAACAACAAAGCTGGCACTGTGAATTTGGACTTAGGATATCATGCTTGGTATAGCAGAGGGTCAATAAAAAAGAGGAAGGCCCTCAACGAGATGGATTGACACAGTGGCTGCAACGATGGGCTCAGGTATAGCAGGGATCATGAGGCTGGTACAGGACTGGGTAGTGTTTCATTCTGTTGCACATAAGGTCACTATGAGTGGGAGACAACTCAATGGCACCTAACAACAACAACAATACCGTGAGACAATAAATTTTTGTTTGTTAAGCCAACCACTTGCAGCATTTCTGTTATAGCAGTACTAGCATACTAAGAAAACTATTTAAACCAGTTTGATTTTTTAGTAATTTTTTTTGGGTCCCACCAAAAGGCAAATTTAATGATCTATCAGAGAATTCAGAATTACAGTTGATGGTTGTTAAAAACCAATCAGAAGAAGAAATTATTTTAATACAGTTTACTTTTTATGATGATCAATAGTTATCAAAAAAACAAAATTATCAGAAGTATCCTAAATTATACAATTTATCAAAATATCTTAACAGATACATGTTTTGGATTACTTTTATCCTTTCTTTGATAGGAAATTTGTTTCATTAAACATTATATGGGGAGAATCAATGTTAGTGAAGTTTCTTCAGGATCAAATGCATTCCATTTTGGGATTTGAGGACGACTCTGCGCATGGGTTGGGGAAGCTTGGAGGGGTCAATAACCAGCTCGAAGTGGAGCAGCATCAAGGCCAGGGCTATTTTGCATTCCATCATGGCAAACTGCTGCCCGATGCAGTTCCTGGGGGCCACCAAAGAATGAAAAATGGTACTCGATAAATTTGTACATTATTAAAAACATGAGATGTCTTTTTATATATGACAGCTTTTACAGAGAAACATAACCTATCTCCTCAGCCTTTCAGTTGTGGCAGAATCCAGTAGACATTTTATTTTAGATTAAATATGGCATGATCATAAAGTCCCGTGATTTCAAAGACCTGAAAACACTGGTTCTGTTATTTTTGAATCCATCTTACTAAATGGTTATGAATTGTATTGAGATTGCATTCTGTGGAAGTCATTGTAACTAGAAAATTTCCTCCAGATCATGATAAAGAAAAGCTACTTCTTATGGCTAGTTAGAAGCATCTTCAATTGAAGACTTGATGTGTGATATATGCCTTCAAAACACACAAAATGGCTCCTGCACCAACATCCTAAACTTTGTACTCCCTTTCTTTGGCTTCCCCTCCCTATATGTTCCGGAGGTAGCCAGCTTGCAGCTGCTGATGCCAACACCTTATCAGGAAGGACAACCAATGTAAAAAAACTTATTGTTGGGCAGAACATCTTGCAATACGTCCAGAGGCGGGGCTGACCACCTGCATTGGTCAGCAGCCAGACTAGTCTGGCTACTTATGCAAGCCCCCTAACATTGTCCCAGGCTAGTGTAAATATTAATGGGACTGGAAAGGGGAGTGTGGATCTCAAGAGACTGGACCAGCCTGCTGCCATTGGACACAGTGCTGCTTTCTTGTAAGATCCCCTAGTAAACTTGATGCCTTTTAGAGTGATCCTGGGTTGGTTTTTTGGTCTCTCTGGGAAAAGTTATTCTGAGGCATTTGCCCTCTTGGGTCTGCACTCCAACACTTGGCATGAGAATTCAAGCCTGACTCATTCAGTGGATTGTATTGTCATTTGATAAAGAAGCTGCATCTCCCACTATGTGCCAAAGGGACACCTGGACTTGCTCCCTGTGGGAACAAGAACTTTGAGCTGCCAATGTTTCCTGTCCTTATGACAAGGTGGTATTCCCAACCATTTGTTTATTGCAAGTATAAGTGCAGTCTTTGGGAGCTCTGGTGGTGCCTAAGGCATTTGACTGCTAACCAGAAGGCTGGTGGCTCAAACCCACCAGCTGCTCCTTGGAAGGCTGGGCAATCTACTTCTGTAGTGATACTGCCTCAGAAACCCAAGGAGGGGTTGCTATGAGTCAGATTCAACTCCATGGAAGTGAGGTTTTTTTTTTTTTTTAATTTGTTGTGCAAGGATCTGTATCAATCTATGCTTTTGTTCCACGGATCAGAGTCATCCTTGGTGAAATTAACTAGTCTTTTCAGGGGCTTGGCAGGGCACCATCTGAATGCACTTGTCCCAAGAGAAGATAAGCCAGGTAAAGCAATGGGGAGTCACAGCAATGCTAATTAGCTGAAGAAATGAAGGGAATGAACTCTTTGCTAGTAAGCACTCGTCTATGTTTCCACCAATTTCATTGGCTTGAGTCTTTACCTTGATCCCGCTGAGAATGGTATGAAGGCATAGGTGTGTCTTTTATAACGATTTTCCTTGGAGAATCTCAAGGGATTAAAGACCTATAATGAGAATGAAATTCCCATTTCCATCTCATTACCCAATGCAATGCATCATTAACACATTTCCTAAAGCTAACCTTAGGAATTTAGAAAGTTCAGATACTAGTAGCCTTGCATGGTGCTCCCCAAAAGTCTGCCAGTGAAAGTGTATCTGGGCATAGAAGCAACTCTATAATTTAGTGACAGGTTAAAAACACCCCTATTCACTAAGGTCCTAATGCACTGTTTCCCCTTTCACACTGAAGTCAGCTTACAGTTTAGTTTCCCCATGTAGGTAGAGTGTCCCATGAATATTTTCTGAATGCTAATTTTAGAGAAACATCCACAACTTTATTCTCTCCAGATCCTGTTTGAAATTATGTCTTACCACATGGTGATGCCTTATTAATAAACAATGAAGTATTTATTTATTCATTTATTTAATTAGTTGTTGTTGTTATGTGTTGTGGAATTGGACCTGACTCATAGCGACCCCTCCTTGGGTTTCTGAGGTAGTATCACTACAGAAGTAGATTGCCCAACCTTCTTTCCAAGGGGTGGCTGGTAGCTTTGAACCACCAGCCTTCTGGTTAGCAGTCAAGCGCCTTAAGCACTATGCTACCAGAGCTCCTATTTAACTAGTTAACTACTCTTTTAAAATCCTTCTAGAACTTCCAGTATGATGATATGGAAATATGGGCAGAATGATTTTACCATCCACATTTCAAGGCCATGGGATTTTTATTGCAAATAGTCAATGCTTTCTCTTTCACTTGATAGACCTTTTTTTTTTTTTTTTTGTAAAGAAACAGGGTTTCTACTTGTCATGAGAGTTCCTGCCTGATGAGGACCAGTAGGGAACAGCAAGGACACATTGAGTGAGGGTGGAGGTGGGATTTAGTAAGGGACAGGCCCCACACACTAAAAGAGTCCATTCTAGAGCTTTGGGCTACTCAGAAATATTCAAAACTACTACTATTAAATATGTGCTTGTCAAGGTATACCTTCATGAATATATGTCTACATAGAAGCACAGCAAAGATTAACTCTTCCACTTTTTTTTTTTTTTAATTGAATAATTCATTTTTAAGTTCAACTTCTGTTAAGGAGCTCTGGTAGCATAGTGGATAAGACATTTGGCTGCTACTGGAAAGTCAGCAGTTCAAACCCACCAGCTGCTCTGCAGAAGGAAGATGGGACAATCTACTTCCATAACGATTTACAGCCTTGGAAACCCAATGGGGGGCCGCTATGAGTTGGATTTGACTTGGTGGCAGTAAGTTTTGTTTGTTTGATTCTGACTCATAGCAACCCTCTAGGCAGAGTAGAACTGCCCCATAGGGTTTCCAAGGCTGTAAGTTTTTACAGACGTAGACTGCCTCATTTTCTCAGTGGATGATGGGCTTGAACTGCCAACTTTTTGGTTAACAGCTGAATACTTTAACCACTGTGCCACAAGGGCTTCTTCTTTGTTGTTGTCGTCAGGTGCTGTTCAGTTGTCTCTGACTCAACAGCAACCCTATGTACAACAAAACGAAACACTGTCCAGTCCTGCACCAGCCTCATAATACTTGCTGTACCCAAGCCCATCATTGCAGCCACAGTGTCAATGCATCTCATTGAGGGTCTTCCTCTTTTTTGCTGACCCTCCACTTTATCAAGCTTGATATCTTTCTCCAGGGAATGGTCCCTTCTGACAACATGACCAAAGCAGGTGAGACAAAGTCTGGCCATTCTTGCTTCCAAGCAGCATTCTGGCTGCACTTCTTCCAGGACAGATTTATTAGTTTTTCTGGCAGTCCATGGTCTTTCAGTATTCTTCACCAACACCACCACTTAAAACCATTAACTCTTCTTTGGTCTTCCTTACTCATTGTCCAGCTTTCACATGCATATGAGGTGATTGAAACCACCATGGCTTGGGTAAGGTGCACCTTAGTCTCCAAAGAGACATCTTTGCTCTTCAGCACGTCAAAGAGGTCTTTTGCAGCAGATTTGCCAAAGCAATATGTCATCTGATTTCTTGACTACTGCTTCCATTGGTATTGATTGTAGAACCAATCAATATGAAATCTTCGACAACTTCAATCTTTTCTCCATTTATCATGATGCTACTTATTGGTCCATTTGTGAGGATTTTCATTTTCTTTATGTGGAGGTGTAATCCATATTGCAGACTTCATCGCTAAGTGCTTCAAGTCATCTTCACTTTCAGCAAAGCAAGGTTGTGTTGTCTGCATATCGCATGCTGTTAATGAGTCTTCCTCCAAACCTGATGTCATGTTCTTCTTTATATAGCCCAGTTTCTTGGTTTATTTGCTCAGCATACAGATTGAAAAATTATGGTGAAGAGATACAACCCTGCTGGACTCCCTTCTTGATTTTAAACCATGCAGTATCCCTTTGTTCCATTTGAAAGACAGCCTCCTGGTCTATGTACAGGTTCATGAGTGCAATTAAGTGTTCTGTAATACTCATTCTTCTCAATGCTATCCATAATTTGTTATGATCCACACAGCTGAGTGCTTTTGCATAGTCAATAAAACACAGGTAAACATCTTTCTGGTATTCTTTGCTTTCAGTCAAGATCCATCTGACATCAGCAATGATATCCCTTGTTCCGTGTCCTTTTCTGAATCCAGCTTGCATTTCTGAAAGTTCCCTGTCAATATACCGCTGCAACCATTTTTGAATTATCTTCAGCAAGATTTTACTTGCATGGTGATATTAATGATATAATTTCCATGTTCTGTGGGATTATCTCTCTTTGGAATGGGTACAAGTATGCCTCTCTTCCAGGCAGCTGGCCAGGTAACTGTCTTCCAAATTCTTAGGCATAGACAAGAAGTGCCTCCAGCATGGCATCCGTTTGTTGAAACATCTCAATGGGTATCCCCTCACTTCATGGAGCCTTGTTTTTTACCAATTCCTTCAGTCCAGCTTTGACTTCTTCCTTCAACTGGTTCTTGATCAAATGCCACTTCCTGAAAAGAATGAACATCGACCAATTCTTTTTGGTAGAGTAACTTTGTATATTTTTTCCATCTCCTTTTGGTGTTTCTTGCACCAGTAAATATTTTGCTTGTAGAATATTTCAATATTGCAACTTGAGGCTTGAATTTTTTCTTCAGTTCTTTCAGCTTGAGAAGTGCCAAGCATGTTCTTCTCTTTGGTTTTCTAACTCCAGGTCTTTGCACATTTCATGATAATAATTGACTTTGTCTTCTCAAGCTGCTCTTTGAAATCTGTTAAGCTTTTTTATTCTGTCATTTCTTCCATTTGCTTTAACTACTCTCTGTTCAAGAGCAAGTTTCAGAGTTTCTTCTGACATCCATTTTTGGTCCTTTCTTCCTTTCCTGTCTTTTTAATGGCCTTTTGCTTTCTTCATGTATGATGCTTTTGATGTCATCCCACAATTCCTCTGTTTTTTGGCTATTGGTGTTTCATGCATCAAATCTATTCTTAGATGGTCCCTAAACTCAGATGAGGAGCTCTAGTGGCATAGTGCCTAAGGCATTTTGACTGTTAACCAGAAAGCTGGCAGTTCAAACCCATCAGCCACTCCTTGAAAGGAAGACTGGGCAATCTACTTCCGTAGAGATACTGCCTCAGAAACCCAAGGACGGGTCACTATGAGTTGAATTGACTCAATGGAAGTGAGAGAAACTCAGGTGGAATATTCAGCTTCAGCTTGAACTTGCATATGAGCAACTGATGGTCTGTTCCACAGTCAGCTCCTGGCATTGTTTTGGCTGAAGATATTGAGCTTCTCCATCACCTCTTTCCACAGATGTAGTTGTTCTGATTGCTTTGTATTCCATCTGGCAAATTCCATATGTATAGCCACGCTTTATCGGAAGGAAGGTTGGGCAATCCTACTTCTGTAGTGATACTGCCTCGGAAACCCAAGGAGGGGTTGCTATGAGTCGGGGCTGACTCAACAGCACATAACAACAACAACAGCCACCCTTTATGTTGTTGAAAAAAGGTATTTGCAATGAATAAGACATTGTTGTTGTTGTTATGTGCTGTTGAGTCAGTCCCGACTCATAGCGACCCCTCCTTGGGTTTCTGAGGCAATATCACTACAGAAGTAGCTTGCCCCATCTTCCTTCTGAGAAGTGGCTGGTGGGTTTGAACCTATGGCACTACACTACCAGAGCTCCTGAATAAGACATTGGTCTTGCAAAATTCTATCGTGTCATTTTTATTGCCAAGGCCATATTTTCCAACCAGTGGTGATTCCCAACTACTGGTGATTCTTCTTTGTTTCCAACTTTTGCATTCCAGTCACCAGTGATAATCAACCCATCTTGATTGCATGTTTGGTCAATTTCAGAGTCCAGAAGTTGGTAAAAATCTTCAATTTCCAAGTCTTTGGCTTTGGTGGTTGGTGCATAAATTTGAATAATAGTAATATTAACTGGTCATCCTTGTAGGCATTTGGATATCATCCTGTCACTGACAGCACTATACTTCAGGATAGATCTTGAAACATTCTTTGTGATGACGAATGCCATGCCATTCCTCTTTAATTTGTTATTCTAAGCATAGTGGATTATTTGGTTATCTGATTCAAAATGGCCCAAACCAGTCTATTTCAGCTCACAAATGCCTAGCATATTGATGTTTATGTGTTCCATTTCATTTTTGACAACTTCCAATTCTTCTAAATTCATATTTCTTACATTCCATTTTCTAATTATTAATAGATATTTGCAGCTGTTTCTTCCCATTTTGAGTCATGCCATACCAGAAGTGCCTCCTTCTCAGGCACAAACAAATTATGGAAATTATGTCTTTGTGTGTTTTACATTTACTTCTCCTGCTTCTGATACATGGTGTCTTTCTAAACTGATGTCCAGTAGTACGAGGTATAGCATGATGGTGTGGCACAACTTACTTTGAATAATATGTTGTTGTTGTTGTTGTTATGTGCCATTGAGTTGGTCCCGACTCATAACGCCCCCTCCTTAGGTTGCCAAGGCAGTATCACTATGGAAGTAGATTGCCCAACCTTTCTTCTGAGGAGTGGCTGGTGGGTTTGAACCGCCAGCCTTCTGGTTAGCAGTCAAGTGCCTTAGGCACTATGCTACCAGAGCTATAGCACCATCAAAATGGATAATGTTTTTTTTTTTTTTTCTTGTTTATGCAGTGCCCCAGAGAAAGGGAGTTGGAGTCTGATTTACCCTCTAAGTCCTTGGTTTGCAGAAGTTCGAGGACCTAGTTGCCAGTTTTGTGTATAGAGGTCAGGGACCAATTGAGAAGAAAGAGATCAAGACTGTGTAACGCAATAAGACAAGTGGAGATAGCCTTGGCATCTGTTGACAGGAAGTGATCTAAAAAACCCCAAGGTTTTTTGCCAAAATTATGGGCAAGACTGGGATAATGAAGTGAGTGTAACACAGGGACTAGAAGTTCCTGGAGGCAACTGGTTCCAGGAGAATATGTGGCTCAGGCAGCAACTATTCAGCACCCAGCTACACTGGTGTTGCCATCGGTAACATTGATAAGGCTTGTGAAAGTGAATTAAATTAGCTTCCAACTTATAGCTCTGCTGGTGCCTGAGCTAGGATTGGACTCAGATCTGGCATTTCCACAGCCATCAACAAATGGCAACTCAACTGTGCGATATCATATTCAGCACTGACCCAATGTGACCAGAATAGAAGTAACGGCTCTATGAGCTAATCAGATCTCCAAGAGTTTAAAAGCAGGATTGAGCCTTTATTAATTTAATAAACATCTGGGATCTTGGGCCACCTTTGCCTGGGATAGCAGTGGATGCAGGGACGCCTGAAATGGAAGTTTCTGGACCTTGTGATAAGAACCTATGAGACCATGAACAATTGATAATTAAGGATTGATGAGAATATATGATGAACACAGATGTGATAAAATAGCCCATTATTGTTACAGCTCAGATTGGCGATTTCACAATCTTAAGACAATTGACACACAATCACACTTGACCAAATCCATTGACCTCATTATTTTTCCTTCACAGTAAATAAAGGCTTTTGTCATATAAAAACTCACAAAAAAAAAGAAAAGAAAAAAGAAAAAAAGAATTGTGATCTTTTTACTTTTTCCGTGTTTTCCAAATGGACTGAACTAGTAACTTGTGCTTAGAGGTGGCAATTGAAACACTAATGTTCAGATACTACCTGAGCATTGCCTAATAAGGATTGCTGATTAGCCTATTCTATAGCACAGTGGCTAAGACACTTGCCTGCTAACCAGATGGCTGGCGGTTCAAACCCACCAGCCACTCCTCGGAAGGAAGTTTGGGCAATCCTACTTCTGTAGTGATACTGCCTCGGAAACCCAAGGAGGGGTCGCTGTGAGTCGGGGCCGACTCGACGGCACATAACAACAACAACAACAACAACAACAACATAGGCCTGGTGCTGTGGAGTTGGTCAGAGAGCTGGCTTGCAGCCAAAGAGCATGATTTTTCTATCCTAGCACCTGCAAGTCTCTATCTTTCCCTTTCTCATGTTATGTATGTGAATGAGAACAATGGTCCTAGAGAGTGAATCTCTAATATGCTCTAATCTTTTAAAAAAACAAATTATTTATAATCTTGATGCTTTAATTATTACCAGTAAAAAATTATTTGCAATATACTTTATAACTCAGTGTGATTAACTTGACTACAAAAATAAATGAAATAGGGAGCAAGAAGATTATTCAGAGCTGTGTCAATCCATTAATCACATTCCTCCTAATTCTCAAAAAGATATGATATGCATCTGTTGATGAAACATCATCATGGAATACAGCAATGATTTGAAAAAGACAATGCTTTTCTTTAAGAGCATAGGGTGTTTGTTCTGTTTTGCTTTTTGCAAATACACAGTGATTATTCTAAGTGCTCACTCAACTGTCAATATTCTTCTCTTCCCTCTCATTGTGACTGACTATTTAAGATGGTAGGGTTTAGGACAATCATACCTGAGGGTCTTCCCAGATAGCAGGATTGTGGTGGAGAGCCCAAATATTGAGCAACACAGTTACTCCTGAGTCAGTAAAAGAAAAAAAAAAAAGAATGCATGAGCTAAGATTCTTTCATATCTACTGATGGGAAAGAATTATACATTCATTTATCATTTACTTAATCCTTTTCAACGTATTCATTATAGAGACACTTGAGTAAGCAATATGGAGATAAATTGAACCTACTCCAGTCCTCAAGGATCTCAACACAATTGCAACACAAGGTGTTAAATCAGAGAGAAGCCCAGGATGCTCTGGGAGTAGAGGAAGTACACCTCATCTATAAAGCCATTAGGTGTAAGCAAGAGAAAGGGGCCAGACAAGGTCTTCTTAGCTCAATATCATAAATATGGCAGAAGCAAAACAGGAAAATAAAAGAATGTAGGGAAGGGGATTTGAAGCAGACAAAGCAGCATGAACCAAATCATCAACTCTTAACAAAGTTTGGAAAATTTGACTAGAAATTTGTGTAACAGGGTTGAGGAAGGAAAGTGTCAATAGATGAACCTGGAGAGGTTGGCTGGGCATGTACAATGCTATAGCATATAAATCATGCTAAGACTTTTATGTTGAAGTCAATATGGATCCTAAGAGATTTTAAGCAGAGATTGAGTATTGTTTTTCTAAAAAGTTGTTTTCCTAGTTAGCCACGTGAGAGATTTTATTATTTTTGTTATTGCTAATGAAGGAGCCCTGGTGGTGCAATGGTTAAGCACTCAGTTGGTAACTGAAAGATTGGCACTTCAAACCCACCCAGTGGCTCCATGAGTGAAAAAAATGACAGTCTGCTTTTGTAGAGTACTTCCTAGAAAACCTATGGGACAGTTCTATGCTGTCATGTGGTCAAAAATTGACCCGATGGCACCCAACAAAAACAGCAATGTTGTCAATGAGCCATATGGCACATAAAGCCAATATGGTGCTGAAGTAATATGTTATAATGTTATTAAGTATGCACTGATCACTCAGTGGAGATGATATGATTTTCCTTCTTTGATCAGTGATGAATTATATTAATGGATTTCTGATATTGAGCTACACTTTTGGAATAAGACCAACTTAGTCATGATATACTTACGTTGATGTGTTGTTGGATTCTGTTTACTAGTATTTTATTTGTTGTTGTTATGTGCCCTCGAGTTGGACCTGACTCATAGCAACTCCTTCCTGGGTTTCCGAGGTGGTATCACTGTGGAAGTAGATTGCCCAACCTTCCTTCCAAGGAGTGGCTGGTGGATCTGAACTGCCACTCTTCTGGTTAGCAGTTAAGTGCCTTAGGCACTACGCTACCAGAGCTCCTAATATTTTATTTAGAAATTTCATATTGATATTAATTAGTGAGAATCACCTAGATTTTTTGTGCAATCTTTATCACTTTTGTTATTAATATTATACTTCTTCCTTAAATGAACTTTAAAGTTTTACTTTTTATTTTTCTATAATATGGACATTTTAAGTAGTAATACATAGTCTTTAAAAGTCTGATAGAAAGCCTTGTGAAATTGTATAGATCCAGGTCATTTTTGGGGCTCTGAAAAATTTCTCTAGTTCTTGAAAATTGAAATGTTTATACTTTTTATTTTTCCTAGGATCAGTTTTGGTAAATTATGTTTCACTATAAAATTATCCAGCCACTTCTCAGAAGGAAGGTTGGGCAATCTGCTTCCATAATGATACCGCCTCAGAAACCCAAGGAGAGGCTGCTGTGAGTCAGGTGCGACTTGACAGCACATAACAACAAACAGCATAAAATTATCTAATTTTTCTAGTTATTCAAATCCATATGCATAGACCTGTGTAAGATTAGCTGGTAGTTTGACTCTTTTATTGACTTTTTTTCCCCAAATCAGGTATTTTTAAAAAATAGTTATGTAGCTTTTTTGTTTTTAATAAGATTACTTTCTACATTTACCCTAATTAACTCATTCTTCTGCTTTCATTTCCTTTCCCTTTTCCTTCTTTTTTCCAGATTTTTTAAATCAATGTCTAATTCATTTGTTTGAATTTGCACATTATTGTAATATTTTTAATATTCCATGCTATAACTTTTTCTCTGAAGATGCTTTAGCTGTATATTGTTGATTCTGATATCTAGAGTTTTCATGATTCTTTTTTATTTTTTTGTATTTCTACTCTGATGCAAAGTTTTTAATATAGTATTTTTAAAAAAATCTCTAGGTACAAAAACCTGTAGTTTTGGGGCTTTGAACCCCATATTATTTTACTCTCTCAAGCCTCATATCCTAGAGTGTATCCTTTGTATTGGGAGCTGTGGTGGTATAGTACCTAAGGCATTTGAGTGCTAACCAGAAGGCTGGCAGTTCAAACCCACCAGGCACTCCTGGGAAGGAAGACTGGGCAATCTACTTCCATAGAGACACTGCCTCAGAAACCCAAGGAGGGGGTCACTAGGAGTCACTATCGACTTGATGGCAGTGAGTTTGGTTTTTTTGGTTTATCCTCTGTATTGGATCAGCTTCTTCTGCCTGCAGTAAATATTTTTTCATTTCTCATTCTTTGGTTCCAGAAACGTTGTTTTCTCTTTAACAATTAATGGAGGTCTGACCAAGATCACAAGAACAGACAGCCCATTGAAGTTTAGCATTTGCTATGAAGTTGGCTCATGGGTTTACCAAATATCAGCTCCTTTGGGTGAGGCTCCAATAATGGTCAGTGAGATAGTTTTGGCTTTTTCTAAGCCTGTTCTTGTCTTTCTTATAAGTTTCTTTTTATTCTGGTTTATAGCCAGAGTTTCCAGTTTATAACTATGGACTTCTCCCACTATCTTTCTCTTTGTTTTATTAGTGTTGTTGTGACTTGTCTGAAGGATTTTGCAGAACTGTCATAGTTTGGGCTATGTCTATCTCCACAATTAGGTTTACTGGATCATTAGATCCAAAGTCACATGCTATGCCATTAATATATCTACTATTTGCTATAAAGAATCTCTCTCTCTCTCTCT